AGCACAAACACAAAATACCATCCGAAAATTAATCAGGAATGATCAGTGTAAAAACTTAGCACAAGGCCCTGTTAGCACACCCACTCACATGGACATCTCAGCCACGTTCACCACGATGCTCCAACTGCCTCCAATGCTCCAACCACCTCCATGCATCACAACAAACTGCTCAAAGACAAACTGCTCGGGCAAACTGCTCCTAACGGCTTACAGAAAACTAGTATCATGTTATCTTCTATATATACACATTATGTAACAGTTGAAAATATGAATAGAAATAACATTTCAGTAAATCTACTTCTTCCCTCTCGCTCTTTCTCCTGTTCTTACTTTTCAAGTATTTCATCTTGGTATCAGAGCGATTGAGCCTCACCGCCAATGGCCGAACAAGACTCATCAGCCTCTGCGCTTCCAGCCTCTTCAGTTGCAACACCACCCGCGTCCTCAATCTCCGCCTCCATGGCCGAGTTCATAATACCTACTCCCCTCAAGTTTCTGATGTCCAACCTAAAATCCATTGTCAATCTACAACTCAACAATGAGAATTATGCTATATGGAGTCTGCAAATATACAAGTTGTTCGCAGCTAACGGATTCGAGGGCTACCTAACAGGGAGTCTGATTCGTCCCAATAAACCCGACGATCACGCTGACAGCCGGCTCCGGAGACTTATAGATCAGAACCTTGTCTTTGCATTATTGTGTACAATCTCGCCATCGGTGCTACCTTACATCCTTCACCTCTCAAGCCCCTGCGAAACCTGGCTGACATTGTCAAACAGACTCCAGCCTACCAATCGCTCAAGAGTGATCCAGTTAAAAAATGAACTGCACAACATTCAAAAGAAGGATAATACCATGAATCAATACTTGGCTCAAATCAAGACATTGGTGGACAATATAGCCGCCGCCGGATCGCACATTGACTCTGAGGATATCCTTATGTATATCCTTAACGGATTACCTTCTGCCTACAATGCCTTCAAGATTGCAATTCGCACTTCACAACTCCCCATCAGTCTCGACGTCCTCTATTCGCTCTTATGCAGTGAAGAAATCAACATTCAAAATCAAGTACAACGAGAGGTAAATCCTTCATCAGATCACCTGGCTCTGTACTTGAACCGACCAAAATCTTCTCGCGGCAAGGAAAATCCGTCATATCGCGAACGCAGCAATTCTCGTCCACCTCTTCCCAACAACAACAGACCTTCTTCTCCCAATAATAGTACACGTCCAACGTGTCAAATATGCGGTAAAATGGGACACACAGCGCTTACATGTTGGCATCGCTGCAACTTACAATATTCAGCCTCTGATCAAACCAAAGCTCTCTTCTCCCAGCCTCAAGCCAACCCCACAACAGATTGGGTACTGGATTCCGGAGCCACATCTCACCTAACTGCAAACACTCAAACACTTTAATAGCCAACACCTTACTTCGGCTCAGATTCCGTCTCAATAGCCAACGGTAGTTCTCTTCCCATCCAACATCAAGGCCAAGGTATATTACCCCTTCCAAATACACCACGTAAGCTTCTTCTTCAACACATCCTTCATGTACCATCTCTCTCTCACAATTTACTATCCATTCAAAAACTAACATCCGATAACAATTGCTCTGTTTCCTTTGATGCTCACGGTTTCATCATTCACGATCTAACAGACAATCAAGTTCTGCTACATGGACAAGTCCGTGATGGATTGTACACAATCTCCACCACCAAGCCCTCCCCGACCGCTCTTCACTCCAAACAAATCTCCACTAACTTGTGGCATGAACGTCTCGGCCATCCCCATCATCGCACTATGCAGTATCTAGCTAATGTAATTCCAAATATTAGTATTTCATCTAGTTCTTTTTCTTGCAAATCATGTAATATGGCCAAGAGCCATAAGCTACCTTTTATTTTAAGTAAATCAAATGTTAGTACTCCATTTGCTCTTATTCACTCTGACGTTTGGGGTCCATCCCCCATTCCCTCTCTTAACGGCTACAAGTATTTTGTAACGTTCATAGATACTTACACAAGATTCTGCTGGATCTACTTAATGAACTCTAAAGATCAAACTTTCTCAAAATTCTTACATTTTTATCAAATGGTTACAAATAAATTTAAAAGCAACATCACTACCTTCCGCTCTGACAATGGTAGCGAATTCAACAACCACGCCTTTCAAACCTTCTTCACAAATAAAGGAATCACACATCAATTAACATGTCCATACACCCCGGAACAAAATGGACTAGCCGAACGTAAAAATCGCCATCTCATCGAAACAACACGAACACTACTTCATACTGCTCACCTACCACTTAATTTTTGGGCTGAAGCTCTTCTTACCTCCAATTACCTAATTAACCGCCTACCCACTAGAGCATGCAACTCTCAAATTCCTTTCCAACTTCTTCACGGACATCCACCCTCCTATGACCATCTAAAAACGTTTGGTTGCTTATGCTTTTCATGGCTTCGCCCTCTTACAACCAATAAGCTCCAACCGAGATCTCAGGAATGTTTATTCCTAGGATACTCCTCAACACACAAAGGTTATCGTTGTTACAATCTTACCACAAAGAAAATTCATATCTCACGTCACGTCACATTCCATGAACATACATTTCCATTTCAAAATAATAACTCATCTCAACTAAATTCCTCTACAACAGCCACCTCCCCACCACTTATGCTCATCCCAACATCTACCCTCCTTCCCTCCCGTACACCCATTACCACTTCTACCCAATCACTTCCAACATCAGTTTCCTCTCCACCAATTATGTCACCTGTCACACCCATTACACAACCCATCTCCTCTTCCTCATCATAACACTCCACTAATCTGTCCCACTCCCCAACCTTACAACCTACAACAAATCATCCTATGCTAACCCGTTATAAAACGGGCCATCTAAAACCAAAAGCCATATTTGATCTCTCCGTCACAACAAACCCGATCCAAACACCTTCCACATTACAACAGGCTGCACTCCTACCTGAATGGCAAACAGCCATGGCTAACGAATTTAATGCCCTACAACACCAAAAGACATGGTCCTTAACACCAACTCCACCAAATACTCCCATACTCGGCTGTCGTTGGACATACAAGACTAAACTCCATCAAAATGGAGCAGTTGCAAACTACAAAGCTCACCTTGTTGCACAAGACTTTGCTCAAGAACATGGCATCAATTACAACGAAACTTTCAGTCCCGTTGCCAAGATGCCCACAATACGTATTCTCCTTATCATTGCGCTACAACGTCACTGGCCAGTCTTACAATTCGACATCTCCAATGCCTTTCTCCACGGTGACTTAGATGAGGACATTTACATGAAGCAACCACCGGGGTTCACAAATCCTATCCATCCAACACATGTCTGCAAATTACACAAGTCACTCTATGGCCTTAAGCAGGCACACGCCAATGGTTCAACAAGTTTACATCGAGTCTGCTCGATTTTGGCTTCATCTTCAGTAAATCTGATCCCTCATTATTGATCTATACCCATGGGACTATACAGCTCTATCTACTCATTTACGTCGACGACCTGCTTGTTACTGGAAACGACTCAGCCACTATACAACATCTTCTACAAAAGTTGAAATTCGAATTTGCCTTGAAACAGCTTGGCTCGGTCACTACCTTCCTGGGCATTCAAATCCAGCGGACAGCTACCGGTTTATTTCTGCATCAATCTCACTATGCTCGTGAAATACTACAAACATCTGGCTTCTCCTCTTGCAAACCAGCTCTCACTCCGCTAGCCACCAAACTTCCTCATTGTCAATCTTCCGATCAAGCATTTAAAAATCCAACACTATACAGAAAAATTGCTGGTGCTCTTCAATATCTCACCATCACTAGACCTGGCATTGCATTCGCAACAAACCACGTCTGCCACATATGCATAACCCCACAAATCAACACTATCAATCCCTCAAGCGGCTACTTCGATACATTAAGGGAACTCAACATTATGGCATTCCCTTTATAGAAGGCGATCTCACACTTCAAACATTTGTAGATGCTGACTGGGCTGCATACCAAACTGATCGAAAATCAGTCACCAGTTTTTGTTCATTTCTTGGTCCAAATTTACTATCATGACAAGTAAAGAAACAAGCCACAGTCTCAAACTCCTCCACCGAAGCGGAGTATCGTGCTCTATCCTCCGCTACATCCGACGTTATTTGGTTACGCCGGCTGCTAGCAGAATTCCATGAACAACAACTCCAACCGACGGTGATCCATTGCGACAATACATCTGCATAGCATTGGCCAAAAACCCTGTCTTTCATGCTCGCACTAAGCATATTGAGATTGACTATCACTTTATAAGCGAGCATGTCAAAAACAATGCCATCGCTCAACATCACATCAATTCCGCCGATCAGCCAGCGGACATCTTAACCAAAGCACTATCGCCGGCTCGCTTCTGTGCGCTTCGCACCAAATTGACCATCCAATCCCAGGACGCTCAACTTGCGGGGGGATGTTAGCACACCCACTCACATGGACATCTCAACCACGTTCACCACGATGCTCCAACTGCCTCCGATGCTCCAACCACCTCCATGCATCACAACAAACTGCTCAAAGACAAACTGCTCGGGCAAACTGCTCCTAACGGCTTACAGAAAACTAGTATCATGTTATCTTCTATATATATACATTATGTAACAGTTGAAAATATGAATAGAAATAACATTTCACTAAATCTACTTCTTCCCTCTCGCTCTTTCTCCTGTTCTTACTTTTCAAGTATTTCATCTGGCCCAAAATCAAATTTAAGATTTTGTTTGGAATAGCTTTCTTATTGCTTTACTTTTCCTACTGCAACCACAATTTTTTTCATTGCTTTCAAAAAAAAAATTGTACTAGAAAGTTTTTTTTCTGCAACAGTTTTAAAAATTTATTTTTCTTTAGCAACTTTACAAAACGGTAAAAAAGTTATCCTAAACAAAGCTTAAATCTCTCAACATTCACAAGATTATTCAAATACAAATTCAGTTTCAACGTGCTCGTGTCTGCCTGATTTCAGTGCAGCACTAATTCCATCCAAAACCCAATTTATTTCCTTCAGTAGTTCCTCTTCAGTTCCTTTAAGAGAAAACTCACGCACCTGGCCACCAACATCAATCATACTGCAGCCAGGTGAATTTTTCTTGATTCCCATTTTTTTCATGAAGTTCCAAATTCTCTTCACATCCTCATACCTCTTCACTTTTGCATATATATCAGATAAAACAATGTAAACGGCATGGTCGAGAGGATCCCGTTCCATCAAATAACCAGCAATTCTTTGTCCAAGCTCCACATTTCCATGCATTCTGCAGGCACCAAGCAATGCTCCCCAAACAAAAGAATCAGGCTCCATTGGCATTGATCTTATGAGTGTTTCAGCCTCTGAAAATAACCCAGCTCTACCAAGTAAATCAACCATGCAAGCAAAATGCTGAACTTGTGGCTCTATCAAGTAAACTCTTTTCATCAAATCAAAACACCAACGGCCTTTCTCCACCAAGCCTAAATGAGCACATGCGCTTAAAAGCGAACCAAATGTGACATAATTAGGCTTCAAGCCCGCTCTCACCATCTTTTCAAAAAGAATGAAAGCCTCCTCACCGCACCCATGCACCGCAAGTGCCGAGATCATTGCACTCCAAGCCAAAACATCCTTTTCCAAAATCTCCCCAAACACTTCTCTTGCTTCTGCCAGACTCCCGCACTTCCCATACATATCTATGAGAGCGGTACCAATGACAACATCAAAATCCAATCTTTTCCTTCTCAAATATCTATGCAACCACTTCCCATGATCCAAAGCTCCGATAGAAGCACAAGCCTTTATCAGACTAGCAATCGTGATTTTATCAGGTTTAACAGACTCCCCGCCTGAAAACTGCATCTCCTGGAACAAATCCAGAGCTTCTCTAGCCCGACCACCCTGAACTAACCCAGAAATAATCGAATTCCAAGTTCTTACATTCCTATTCTCCATTCGGGAAAACAGTTCTAACGCAGCATCGAACTTCCCGCACTTCAAATAACCCGACAAAATTGAATTTTCGGAAACCACGTCTCTTTGAGGCATTTGCTCAAACACTTTCTGAGCATGGACAAGAAGTCCACAGCTCGAATACATAATTATCATACTGTTCTGAATAAAAATATCAACTTGGAACCCAAGCTTCACAACATGTGCATGCAAAGCTTGACCAGCATTGGCACTGAGGCGGAAAGAACAGAACTTGAGAAGGAAAGGGAATGTGAGGTGGTCGGGACGTATATCACGGGCTAGCATTTGGATATAGAGAAAGAAAGGGCTCATTGAGGCGGAGAAAGATGAGGATTGGGTTCGAATGATGGCGTTGTAGTCGGAGAGAGTAGGGTCGGTGATAGAATGGAAGAGATTGGAGGCGTAGGGGAGAGAAGCGAGAGAAGGAGACGTGGAGCAGAAGAAGAGGAGGCGGGAGAGGAGAGAGGAGGCCATGCGGTGGTTGTAGAGGGGGGAAGTGAGAATTTGGGCATGGATCTGGTGGAGCTTACGAAGGCTGCGACATTGATTGATGAGACCAATGAGTGAGGTGGCGGCGAAACTTGTGGCGGAAATCGGACGTCGATTGGGCATTTCATTCTTTGATAGGCAAGGTGGAGAATTGCACCGATTGCACCTGGTAATAAGTAGACTATAGCGATTCCAAGCAGCTCTCCGTCGTCACAAATTTGCAGGTTTGCTCGTGGCTTCGAATTTAGTGTCCCTCAAAAGGCTCACATTCCGATTTCAAAATCTCACTCTGATTCAATCCATCTCAATTCAAGAAAGCAGTGCATAGCAAAGTCCTACATGGGATCCTGGTTGGATACCCATTGGGCACCCATGTTTTACTCGGACGGACTTCACCCACCCACACCCACCCATGGTGACTTTTGGGATGCCATACCCACCAACTTTTCATGCTTTTTGAACGAACTCTGCCACAGACAGACAGCCTTGAGGCTTGTTGTCATTTGCTCTGGTTACAAACTTTCAAGCCGCATATCAGAATTTATCATAATCGCAGCGTGGTTACGTGTTGCACACTACATTGTGAGGATTGCAGTAATATAAGATATACAGCGATTAGCAATGTAAATCGATTTTTCTCCCGATGTTGAGTACCCACCCACAAGATCATAGGCATACCCATTCCCACCAATATCCATTGGGTATGGGTCTTCAATGCAGGGCTCTGGTGCATAATCTGACTTATTATTTGGTTCGACACAGCCAAAAACAGATCCGATTTTCGAACTGAATCAAGTCAAAAATATATTCTATTGCCAATCAATCTTCAATTCCTGATTAGTAATTATTAATTCAGATCCATAGTTACAGAAGCTAATAAATAAATTTTTCAAGACTAACACAGAACAACTCTGAATAGTTCTATTAATTTTCCTAAAAAATATTTACCTTGAGCACATCAATCGTTACAGCATTATTACTAGAGCATGCTCTGTAGAATTTGTCCACTAGTCCCATTCATGCTCACCGCAGTATTTGATGGAGAAATCAAGTTCTTGGGATGGTTTCTTAAGGTGTCTTTTTGTGAGCATAAATAGGAGAGCGACTGTAGCCATGATACGAGAACTGGTTTCCTCGCAACATCATCCGATTCTGCTACTTGGGCGTAGAGTTCATCAAGCATCACCTTCTTCCCATCTTCTGGGAGTTGCAGAATGAACTCTGCTAACCGTTTTAGAAGGTAAGGCAATACCTGGCATAGAGAAAATATATGAAGTAATATTAATTATATTTTTTGTGATTTAAAAATTTTTGATGTTATATAAAGATTTAAATATTACATATGTAAAGATATAAAAATTCTGTAACATAATAATTAAGCAGTAGCACAGCACTTTGAAAGAGGCTCTAAGCATGATTGGGTTAATTTCATTTGATATGAGCCACGAAAATAATTCCTCTGCTATGCAACATAACAGCATCAACCCCATACAGACCACATTCTAATGGGAACCAAATGCATAAGGCGCCATTAGAAATTAATTTTTTTTCTTCTATAGCTGCGGAAGGAAGAAGATGCTGCAGTATAGAAACTAATTTCTAATAAGGTGGTACTAAAGTTGATGTTATAGGCTACATTTGGGATGGCTTTTTTACAGCTTCTTAAAGCTCATCTCCTTTGAAGTAGAGCCTGCAGAGATGGGCACATTTTCTCCTTTTCAACCTGCTCGTAACATATTGATTGGCACAATCAATGAGCGTGTCCTCTTATCCCCTAATGCATCTTCTCCAACACACCTGTATAAAAATCAAAGCGCACTTACTTGAGAATCACTAGTGAGTGCATCTTCTTATTCTCAACCTACCTACCATTAACATGTGGTCTTAGCTATCACGAGCCACCTCGATATAGCTCATACACTAATGGGTCATATTGGGTCGAGTACATGATTGATCATTTGCTCTCAATCTTTTAATGGAGGGAATTTTTTTCTCATTTAATTCATATAAAACCTATTAAAATCCAACAATACATAAAATAAAACTTCATTCAGAATATATATATATAGAGAGAGAGAAAGAGAGAGTAAAAAGTCCAAAGTAATCCCCTGACTATTAGTAAATATCTAATTTAGCTACAAACTTTTATAATGTCTCAATTTAGTCTCCCGACTATTAGAAAATATTTTAGTTTGGTACCAAGTCCAAAAATAACAGTTAAAACTAACCCTAACAATTAAATGTGAGCGAATCTTAAGTAAAGGCGAAGATAGTGGTCCACTAGGAGTCACCACTGCGAGCCTAGGAACATCCAAGGAGTGAGATGACTGCAAAGGAATTGGGATTGAGCAGAGGAAGAGTTAATGAGTGCTGCATAATAAAAGCAAAGATAGGAGTGACAATGATTGAGATCAGAGGAAGAAAGCCACCTGAAGAGGAGAGAAGGTCATTAGTGAGCAAGAAAGAGAACATTGCCACTGCCATAAAAAGCTCGTCAACTACCATAGGGAAGCAGCAAAAGCATAGGGATGCCTCTGATAGGAAACACTAGTAGATCTCAAGTATTTCCTATTAATCTTCATAAAACAGTGAGAATTTTCCACAAAAATCCGCATAAAATCAGAAAAACAGTAGATAATTGTTATTATTTGATGAAATAGAAATGGAAAACAGCAAGATACAGTTGATTCTCAATTCAATAGGAGGATCGATCTCTCCCAAATCTCTAGACGTCGCTAGAGCCCAAAAAATCTAAACCTAAGAGAACTCAAATTTCAGCCAAACTCAAGATGCCCTAACCCTAGGAAAACAAACAATTTAATGCATACAATTCAAAAGGAAATCTCTAAACAGTCCCTACATTCAATTTCCCTTATAAATTTCCTCAAAAATCCTTCATAAAACGGCTCATGCATGCGTTCAGTGCATACAGGAGGCGGAGAAACCAGCCTCTATTCGCGTAGGCCGGTCCAGCAGGACAGGCTGGACCGATCCAATGGACCGGTCTAACAGCCTCATGCGCAAGAGCAAGGCAAGATGTGAAACCCACATGAGTCTGCAGTGGACGAACACAAAGGGCGCACAATAGTAAGGGATACTAGTGAAGAATGATTGTAGGGGAGCGCCCCTGATGGACCACCTACATGAGGGTTTCACACGAGGGATCGCAAACAATGTGAGTCACGAGTAATAAGATTAATCAAAATAACTTAAAGTTTCATTCTATCTATAAGATTTTGATCCTTGATAAGTAGATAAGGTTGCCATAATGTGGTGGATTATACATGGAGCTTCAGCACCTCTACTTCAAACAATCGCCATAAAATTGCTTGGCCAAGTTTCATCCTCATCCTGTTGTGAAAGAAATTGGAGCACATACTCATTCATCCAATCAATGAAGAGAAATAAAATTACTCCACAACGGGCTGAAGATTTAGTTTACGTGCATACAAACCTTCGACTTCTCTCAAGGAAAACTCCAACTTATATGGAAGTAGACAACATGATGTGGGATGTTGCTGGAGATGGATTTGAATCTCTTGAGGATATGGGAATATTAGAAATTGCTAATCTTTCACTTAATGAGCCTGAATTAGAAGCTATGATATTTATTGAAGATGATATAGAAACTCAAAGACAAAACACTGAAGAAGCTAATCCTATCATTCCTTCTATTGAATAGTTGAAATTTCATGTGCTGGACAATTTATCTTCTTGTTTTTGTTGTTGTACTAGACATTTCAATACTTAATGCTTACTTTTATTTCAATTTTTTTTGTCATTTCAAATATTACATTTTGATTACTTTATTAATTTTTATGTATTATTTATATATTATAATGTCGTATCCGCGCCGTATCCGTATCCTGTATTTTTAAGAATTGGAGTGTCCCGTATCCGTATCGTGTCGTATCCGTATCGCCGTATCCGTATCGGTGCAACATAGGTGCTCATCAAAACAAAGCCTCAAGTTAAAACTAAAGGTGACAACCACATAAACAAAGTGAATTTTGAATAGCACCCACAGCACACGCGAAATGCAATCAGAGGAATCGCAACTCCCTATAACTCATCCAGAGCAACAAATTGTTCAAATCAAGTTTAAATAACATAAACCACAAAGTCCAAAGCATGAGAATCCATAACCAAACAAGCAGTAAGCCATAAGGAGAACCGCAAGTGTCCAACATGAAGCCTAGGGCAATATAGTGACCAAAATTCCAAAAATAAGAAATTCATAATGTGAAGTCCCAAATGGCCTCAAATAGTGACCTGAATCACAGACATGGCTTGAATCATATCATTAAATTTTGAATAAATCATGAACCAAACTAGCATGAGTCCATTTTAATTGGCTTAAGCTATATTAACCAACATTGTACTAGGAAATTATAGACACTCATCGAAGGAATGACAGGCAATAATTAAAATTGAAAATTGCAATATATATATATCAAGCAAATGAAACAAAAATCAAATTGTTCATGTCAATTAATCAATTAACATTTTCTCTAAGTGTGAACACACAGATCTCCGTCATGCATTTTGCTATTTGGTACAAAATATAGTTCATTATTCTCATAGAGATTAAAGTGTTACAATTTAATGGTGTACTCGTAATAATAAAACCATGAAAAAAGTCAACACATAATATATAGCCCTTTTAACCCATTTTTTTTTTAAATCAAAGGTAGCAAACCATGAAACAATTCAACACATAGGATATAGCCCTTTTTAACCCATATTTCTTTAAATCAAAGGTAGCAAACAACACTTTGAAAAAAATACAAATGAAAAGCAATACCCAATGAGAATAAATGCCCCCATAATATGCACCAATATTGACTATAAATGAGGTTTCTAAGAGCTTTTCATGTACCAGCCTAAAAACGACAAAGAGAAATGATATATCAATACTCTCAAAAGTATTTAAAAAAAAAACTCTTTTGGTCTCTAAACATTCAAGAGAGTCATGAACAAAATCAGAGTCATGCAAAAATTATCTGTGTTTAAGGTCTAAAAAAATTTAAAAATGAAGGCCGCTTAAAAAGATGTTTAAGGAGTGACCCACCCTATGCACCTGTCTCAAACAATTGCTCGAACACATTATTCGTGTCAATTTGGAGGAACAAAGCCAAAAAACCATATTGAAAAAAATAATTAATGGTTTTGGTAAATTGAACAAAAAAGGGTCAAGATCACACAATCTAAATGGTTTAGATTGTATATCAATCAAATTTGATTGAATCCTAATGAATAATTACATTAAAATATTTGATGTGTATTAGAAAAAAAAAGGAAGATATATAACAACAAGTGAAAAGAATATTTTAAAAAAAAAAAAGAATACATGTCCGTAACAGTAACCAGTAACCTTTAATTATCTATCTATGTATTGTTAAAACCTGCCATCAAGCTTTCCTCTCCCTCGATGTTGCAAGTCCCGCTTATGAGCCTTCTAATGAATATAAGCCTCATCCCAATCAATTTGTGGTGGTACAAAGCCAAGAAACTAAGGCTTCGTTTGAGACAGCTTTATTATTGTTTTCTAAATAAGATTTCTAGTACAAAATTTTTTAGTTCAAAAAAAATTATACTAAAAAGTTCTTTAGAAAACAATGAGAAAGTTGTTCCAAACAAAACCTAATTAAATCAAATACTAAACCTTTGACCAGATATAAGCCACATCCCAACTAATTCAAATCAGTACAATCAAGAATCCGCTAAATCAAAACTCAAAATTCTAAGTAGTGTCAACCCCATCACAAATTAAACTCGGACCAACTCTCATGCTAACTAGCTTGTCAATAAATATCAACCCTCCAATAAAATATTATTTAAAAAGGAGTTCAAGGCACCCGCCTCGAGATACCCCTCACCAGAAGGCACCCATTCACCACATTTATGCTTAAGCTTTTTAAATCCTAAATGATGCTTATAATTTTTCATTTGAATCATATGCCTCGAAGTTTTATGCCACGAGCTGTGAGGTGAATTCCTCAAATAATAAGCATTAAAAAAATAAATTGATTTTTAAAGAGATGTAGAATAAGATGATTTAAGCTTTTAGGGTCTAAACAGGTTTGCTTAGAGTGGGAGGAACAGCAACAAGAGTACCAGCATATAAAGATTGAGCACTAAAAGTGAATGTGTGTCGAGCCAACAGATACAGATCCAGCATTATGAGCATGGCAAAGATCAAAGGTTGCAACACTACTGTAGATTCAAAAATGTAAGCATATAGTGGTGTTGTTCAATGAGATGATATGATGAGAAGAAATAACTAGATTTTTGTTCAATTTGTTTTAAATAAGTTTTATTTTTTATTGAATTTTTAAAATAATTATTCATATTATTTTTTAATTGGCTTTTTATTTAATTTAACTACTTTTTTTGTTTTTTCATTTTATTTTAATTGGATTTTTTTTTGTTTTCATTGGACTTTTTTTTTTAACTATTTTTCATTGTCTTCTAAACGATTTTTTACTTTCATTTTAACTGGTTTTTTCATTTGCTTTTACCTAGTTTGTTTTCATTTTCTTTTTTAAGTATTTTCAATTTTCTTTTAATTTAATTTCTCATTTATAACTAATTTGTAAGCATTTTCCTTTTCCTTTTAAGTTAGTTAAATTGGCTGATTGTGCTAGAAGCAAAAATCCAACTTGGAAATGTGATACGCAAGTCAAAGTACCCAAAAAATGTGCAAAAAAGTTTGTCTCTTTAGAAGGAGATCTTTTGTGTTTGTGTGCTATTTTATGATGATAAACAGAAGTTAATTCATTGATGTTTATGGCATAATTTATGATTTTTTTAAAGTTCAAGGTTTACGTCTAGATCCTCTTTAAAACTTATGCCTCACCTTGATAAGCCAAAGCGCCTATGTTACCAATTTTATCTTCTCAAACCTTGGTTAAAAGAATACAAACCAATAATCCACATGTTTCTTAATACATGTTTCTTCAAATCAAGCTAAAACTCATGGACAATTAAGGGGTTTGCTATTCACTGAGCTTTTTTCAACTATGTCCAATACCTTTGACCCATAAGTGACTGTGATTTGTGCCTCTAAACTATTTAATGAAACTCGTATGGTCAACCATCTATCAGTGAACGAGTTGATGTCAACCTTAAAAGTACATATTCAATGCACATCACCATCTAAATATGCTTGGGATATTTGAGATAAGGCAATCAAGCCCCCTAGATGTTAGGCTCAAAGCCTTCTGACATTGGCAAATAGAGCCTATCGATATACATGAGATGACTGAATCATGGGATCTTGATCGGATCTACCACCTTTTAGCCCAAGCATCCCCACTCAATTAAATTTACATATAAAATTAAAATTTAATCATAAATTTAAGCCGAAGCAACATTCTTCACAAGAATGCAATCCTAACAATGAGAATGGTAATTAATTAAGGGGCTTGCACACATAAAAAGACTCAACCCATATCAAAATAAATACTAACACAACATTAAAGAAAATATAGTAAATAAAGCATAATCTACATCAAATAAAACTACTCCCGAGTTTCCTCTCATGCATATTGAGAAGGCACACAATAAAAGGGATGTGTTTGTCCTAAGCAACCATGCTAATGAATGTTAACCTTGGAACTGACAATGTATGTCATATGCCAAATGTTCCCATCAATTTTAATTTAATCCAATAATTTCACAAATTTTGAAATACTTTTCACAAAAAACCAGGAATGGCTATTCAGACAGCCTTACATTCATATGAAAAGAAGAATTCAAAGGTGTGATTCCAAGAGTAACCTATTAGCCAAAATGAATCCCCATTAAATTAGTTCAAAAAGATGAATTATCCTGCCTTAAATTATATAAAAATAAAATAAAATAGGATTATAAGATGACCACCACCCTACTCATCAATACTTATAATAACCCCAACCAACAAGAAACTAGGCACATGACATGATTTTATGTTCTTCATTCAATCCCACATATAATTCATATTCTCTCTTTTCCCCCATCTCACTGTGGGGTTGTCATGGCAGTGTTGGACCCCCTAAACACAAGGCACAGCATATTCTTAAAAATCATTTTGAGCACACCATTTGCATATTACATTTTTTTAGTATTAATAAAAATTCTCAAACACCATATAAAGACTTCTCAAATGGGATTGCATTTTTTAATATAACTTGGACATAACCTATAGTATTTTAACCAACTTATATTACAACACAGATGCTTTTATAGGCCTAGTGTTTCATCCATCATGGGCCTTGTGTTTTATCCATTATAATCCTTAATATGTGCATTAATATTTAGCCTAATACCCTGATGCCACCTCTCGCATTAAATATCACAAATGTTATGGAATCTAAAGTGTTGTCATGTCTACAAAGCTCAAATAGAGGTTTCGAAAAAGAACATGAATTTGCATGTCTCAAACATGCTAAAGTACGTGCAAAATTGTTTTTCCATAGCAGAAGAAAAAAGGTGTATAACACAACAAAATAAACCCAATGAATCAAAATAGACCTTTCTTTCAAAATTAATTTGGTTTCATTATATCTGTCTACCCATTCTATGCTATATTTTCTCTGCAGTTCTTTTGCAACACTTCTATCACTCCCTAAGAATTTCTTTTTTTTTTGTGTCCCTCTCTCTTAAGTCATTTTCACATCTCTTAAGTTTCTCTCTATGAGTCTTCATATTCCACTCTACATCTCTCTCTTCATATATTTGACTTGTCACAATGTGTACTTCCACTCTATTTTTTCGGTAGCCTTGTCACCTATATCTAAATCATGCCATGCCTTGATGCCTATCACCTTTTACCTCCCAATGTCATTCCCCCAACCTACACCATCACCCAATCATGAACCATAAGCAATCATGGAAAAGTCATAACATAGGATCACATGAGACTCATGAGATAAGACCATGGAAGAATCTTCTCCAAGATTGAATTGAAGCTATAGGAAAATAGAAAACCAAAAAAGACGAGGACATAGTAAGCTAATGACAACAGGAAACAAAGGAATGGAGAAGAAAAAGGAGTTCCAGATCAAGATGTCTATTAATCAAAATACTGGAAATATGCCATTGCAAGTACATAACTAGTGATATAGCCTGTCCATCACTTGCTCTAATCCCAGCTCTGATAGGAAAAAGAAAGGACCTTCAAGATACTAAAAAGATCTGAAGAAGAATTTGCAAACAAAAATATTTTCCGTTGTGGAATCAAACTTGTTCTAAATATTAGAGAAAAATATCAAATAAAAGATAGCAAACAATCTTTCTCGTCAAGGAATACTGTTGTGTGCTAGAAAATACACGGCGGTAGAGTTTATGAATTCGCGTCCGAGCGTTGCACGAATATTCAGCACGCAAATAGTAAAGAGAATGAACACCAAGATTTTTACGTGGAAAATTCAAAAGAGGGAAAAAACCACGAGGCCTCGCCCAGTTGCAAAGTTCCACTAGTATTTGTTTGAAGTACAAAGACTGATTCGTCTTACAAGCCAAGACAATCGATTTACAATCAACTTCTCACAAAGTTACAAAGTTCTACAAATTCCCGGCGTTTCCCTAAAATCCGGCAGAGTTTCGGCGTCTTCATGCGGCGGGAAGAGCTCCGGCGGTGGTCGAGGAGGAGCTTCTTCCTTCTCCTCCTCTTCTTCTTCTCTCTCTTCACTTGAGTCCCCTTTGTGTAGAATGAGGACTCTATTTTGTAGTTTTTTCTGGAGTGGCATAGCTCATAAATAGGTGTGAGATCATGGACGAATAGGGAGTGGTTTGAATGGACGGCCGATATTGAACCCTTCGATCATGCACCGTTCGTTGAACATTTGGAGGCCTTAATGATGTCGGAATTCGGCGATCTTGGGCTCGTTGAATTCGTCTCGTCGAGCCGCTCGATTCGAGTATAAGCTCGTTAAAATCGAAGACCATTTGGTAACTCAAATTGCGGTTTGAACCTTCCAACAGCGCTTCGGGTCCTTGATTCGGACTCATTTGGGCTCGGATTGGGTGCTCCCGGAATTAATTTTTGAAGTTTCCAACTAGCTTTTGCCTCGAGATTCGTGCCCGATCAAAGCTAATTTTATGATGCCGTATCAAGTACTAAATAAATAAGTCAAGTATGTGCATTATATGGAAAGATTGAGCATGTATAAAGAAATTTAGAATCAAACGGCAGCCGGAAGAGTGAATACATAGTGAAAGGTTGACCCATAATTTTACCTGTATATCCACAAGGTAGATGAGTCGCATAAGCAAATCCAAAACCTTTTTACATGTTTCTAAGCTTCCTTCCCAAGTTCTCCACACATCTGCATCTTCATTAATATATTCTTTGCAAAGATCAAGAGCTTTTTCAGTAAGGCAGTTGATGCAGTAAAATACGGCCGGACTTCCAGCTGGAAGATGCCTAACTAAAGCTGCAACTCCAGAAGCCAAACCTTCGAAAGGGGTAATGCCAGGATAAGCCTTCAAGAAGGTAAGCAATTTCCTGAGTTTTATATAATATAATGCAACCTAGTTTACAATGGTTTGGTTATGCAATCTACCTCTAAGGATCTCTGTGTGTAATAGAAAACAAGCTTCTCCTTTAAATCCAGTCTCTCATCTTTCTCAGAGTCTTTTCCAGAAGACATAAGAGCAACAAACACAGAATGTGAAGCTCTAGCCACTTTCTCATTAGGATGTTGAAGATATCTATAGAATTTTAAGGAAGATTATGAATCAAAATCTAGAAGCCTAGTTGATAAACCGAATCCGAGTTTTGCTTGAGGAGAAGACTGAAGTCAAGAGATTTTTACTTCTGTTAAATCTCCACATGTGAAATGGTGTACTAGAAGGGAACGGAGGGGTGACTAAGGTTTCATTTGAGACAGCTTTCTTACTGCTTCTTAAAACAACTTTCTAGTAAAAAAATACATTTTTTGTATTAAAAAATTGATTTAGGAAGCAGAAAGAAAGTCGTCCCAAACGAGGCCTGACATGCATAAGTCTTGTGAAACACTTCCCTCCCGAAAAGCCAAATGGTTTCTAAATCACAATACTAGAAGAACAGTTGGATCTGATAATTAAAGGATACAAGAACATGGTGGGGGCTATCAGCTTTCCAAACACTGAAGCAGGTATGAGGCTGATGCAGGTTGGTATTACACGCAGGAAAAACAAAACTCTGGCTGTCTGCACCTCATCTTCAGACCAAACATATCTTGCCCCCACCAAAGCAAATAAACCTTTCAGATGATAAGAAATGAATATACATTTATATTATTGAATAGCCATCAAAAGGAATATATGCATATCGCCAGTGTGAGAAAGGATAAATTAAGCAAATTTCAAAATTATAGTGCAAGTTGAGTTGAATCCGGAGTGCACTAGATTAGGCCTTCTCCAACCGAACTCCAAACGCATGAATGGCATCGCTTGCGAGCTCCAGCCGAACGGCAAAACTTCCGGTATTTGGTTGCGGGTGAAGAGTGCGACGCCAATATTAGCATTGCACTGTTCACTTCGATATTTTTCTGTCACTACCGGATTTGCCGAAGAAACGCGAGAAGGAGAAAGACGGTTACTTGGGCCAAAATGGAGTTCGATTGGAGATGAATCACGCCATTTTTTAGTTTCACTGCATTTTGGAGTGAAAAATGAGATTTTCGGTTGTAGATGCCGTTAGAAACCTTGGTTATATGTTAGCTCAGAGTATGAAGGCATGAACTCTACAAATGAGACACAAAGTGCAGCATTTTCTTGCATGGTCAGGACAGCACGTCGAACTGCATCTGTATACTCTGGCAACCTAACACGCCTCATATATTCTATGCAAGAAAATGCAATTAAAATCCTAACAGAAGATTCAGGTTGGATCCCATGGGATGATTTAGGATTCAACTTCTGGCTAGCAACTTCTGCAGCATAGACAACAATCATAAGAAATGCAGCTTCAGCAACTTTCTCAAGATATTCAAGCAACTGATCATGCTTCCCTCGATGCACTAATGCAAACGTACGAAGGTTTGAGTAAAACTCCAAAGAGAAATCCCACATATAATTTTCAACAATCCCCTTGTGCTCCTTATCTGCAGAAGCATACTGATTGCAGAAGACACTAGTAATTCCACCTGCCTCCTTGAAAGCAACACTATCCAAATGTCTCTTGAGCTTCTCAAGAACAAAATCCACCGAACTTCCTTCCTGAATCTCAACTGCCATCCTGCAGAAATTTCCAAGCGGGAAGATTTCCTTCAACAAAGCTGTGCAGAGAGCCAGAAGAATTGGAGCGCTGAAGGAAACAGGGCCAGCTCGAGCCAATCCAATAGAGATACACCGAAGAAGATGGCTTCTCTCTAAAGATCCATCCAAATTGGAAATCACGCGCCAAGCAACAGAACTTATAGACCCTTCCACTGAATTCCTCATATCAGGACTCAATCTAACCCTACTCGTCGCTGGAACAAATCGGAAAGCCCTCAAAAAACCAGCAGAAGCCATTGAAACAGCAAACGGAGCATAGCCGCTCGCCTCCCATTTTGCAGCAGATAGCTCTCCACAAACAACCTCTACTTTCTCTAAAGATCTCAAATTTATGAAACTCGTCACCAACCATTCCAATAAACTGAGGATCATAAGCCCATAGTACACTGAAGCCGGAGGCGAGCCTCTATTCCAAACTCTCAGGAAGAATGAGAAAATTTTACTGAAGTAGGGTTCGTCCGAGCGAGAGAGAGCGTACCCGATACCAGCAAAAACCTCGGCGACAACCTCTTCTTCTAGCTGTACCAACTCCAATATCCGGCAAAGGAGGTCTAGGCAATCCCGTCTGTATGAGAACTCGAGGGCAGGGGTAGCAATAAGGCCGCCGAGAAGGAGGACAGACATAGCGGGGCATTGTGGCCGAGATGATAAAATGCGGGATATTTCGGCGGCGGCGGAGTTGACGAGCGAAGGAGAGACGCGGGCAGTTTTGCGGAGCCAGAAGTAGAGGAGACGGAATAGAAAAGAGAGGGAATTCGGAGGAACAGGTGGGTCAGAGGAGAGGAGGGAGATGAGGAGTTTAGCTTGCGGGTCTGCGATTTGAAGGGAGTAGCGTGCGGCGTCGAGGGTTTGGAGGGCAGCGACGAGGCGACTGGGGTCGGAAGAAGGGACAGAAGGGTCACGAAGCTCAGCCCACGCTTGAAGGATCGATCGGGCGGAAACTGCGGTTACAGCCGGCGAAGGAGCGTTACTGGTTCCGGCGGTGCTGCGCAGCCAATCTTCGAGGAAAAGGACTCGGGTTTGGGTGTTTACCTGCATGAGAATAAGGCGGTTGGCCGAAATTGAAGGCAGTCGAGGGGGCGCTGAGGAAGATGACTTTTTGCTATACTGCTTGGTCGTTACGTTGTTGTATCAGGCCAGAATCAGGATTCTACAATTTTGTGCCTTAAAAAACTTGACCGACAGAGTCGAGACAGAGTTCGAGTCACCGCCATGTGAGCTTGATTGATTAATTGTGTTTAGGGTTGAGGGTGAATTAATTTTGCAGTTCGGGTTAATTTAAGAGTTAGCTCAATTGTTATGAATTATATAAAATTAGTATGATTCAAACTATGCCATAAAAGTTGACAAAATAAATAAAAACTAACAATAATAATAACAATATGAGATAAAATTCTTAAATGTATTTTATATTTTTTTACTTAAATGTTTGAAATTAAATACATTTTAATTACTTATATATCTAAAAATTTTTGATATGATCTATACAAATCTCAAGGCATAAATTTAATTGGAATTTTTAAAAATTAAAATCAAAGTCATCTGAACTCCCATTTTAATAAAGGGGTTTTTACATACCTAACATTTAAAACTATTCCATTTATTTATCTAACACATAAACATTATTATTTACTATTCTACCATCTAAAAATCTTTTCCTCATCAAAACTACCACTCCGTAACCTCCCGTCTAATCCCTCAACGTATGATGCCTTTTTCGGCAACTATGACCACTACTTCCTTGATGGCGTATGCTTCACTGCTCTGAATTGATGGTGCGACATTATGCTCGCCACATGGGTTGGTATTAGACGCGGCTTCGACCTCCCAATCTAAAATTTACCTATCGCAGAAGCTCTGGTACCTCCGCATCACCTTGATCGAGGCACAAGAAATATCGACGCCGATGAGCGGGATCTCTCTGTTCATATACCACCGTTCGGTATAGTTTCCCTCGTTTTCTTCCTCATTCGAACTAGGATTTTGCTAGCATTCATCAGCTCATGATTTGAGATTAGAACTACTCATTTGAGAGTTTATGATCGAGATCTATGAGCTTGTCGGGGGAGTTGTGTGGGTATCTTCAATTTGCTTTGGTGTGTAAGTTTATGTTTTAGGGAGTCCTTGTGCGATTTTTTGTTTCAGGGGAAAGCTCTGAAGTGCGGCTTACAGGTTTTCACAAGGGAAAATCTCAAAGCTCTGTCCATGAGCTGCATGAACCACCTGCAGGCTGTGAAGACACACGTGGCTTCGCACATGACCAACTAACCAAGCTCCCGATGCGCCTCTCCACTAACAGTAGCACAGTGCTCAGACTGGCACCAACGGTCACTACCGGCTTGTGATCATTACGCATCTCATCTACTCTATATAATGTACCCAACAGAATGCAAAATATATGAAATGAAAATCACTGTTCATCATCTTCCTGCTTAAGCTTTCTATCCCTGCCGCTAACGCTTTGCAGGTTCTTCATGGTATCACATGTGCCGCTGTCTACAGACCATGGAGGGAATTGTGCAAAGAAATTGTCATGAGTCCAGAGCTCTCCGGGAAGCTCACCTTCCTTGTTTCCTTGAAGCAGCCTGGTCCTCGAGATGGAATGATTCAATGCTTCATTAAGAGGGACAAGTCAGAATCAACCTATCGTCTTTACCTATGTCCCAGGCAGAAGAAAATGAGTTCAATCCACTCGTCTTGGAGAAGATGAGTGGCGCAAGCGGCGTGCGATTAAAACGTTCACACGGATTCATGCGCAAAGCGAAGCAGGCGTTTCTGAAAGAGTCGGGTTGAGGTATTTGACGGGAGGTCATGGAGTGGTAGTTTTGATAAAGGCAAGAGTTTTTAGATGGTAGAATAATAAATAGTAAAGTTTCAGTGTTATATAAGTAAATATAGTAGTTTTAAGTGTTAGGTATGTAGAACCCCCTTTAATAAATTTATAACCAAACTAAACATCTAGACAAGAACTCAAAAATACCAAAGGTAGCACAATCTAAGTCTAAATTAGATCAAATCAAATACTTAGAGTAATTAAAAACTTCAAATATTAATTGGATGAGTAAATGATTCCTAATTTTGGCATGATATAGTCAAATCGAGCGGTTTAACTAGACAAATCTAATTAGTCTAAGATCACTCAATTATAACATCATTAAAAAAATTAAATCTTAAATAAATGCTTCATGATTAAGGGAATCGATATGGATCATATTATATAGTGTTTTGAATTCTGATTCAAATTATCAAAATATTCATTCCAAAAAGCCTCTGAAAATAACCCAACATTATCAAGTAAATCAACCACGCAAGTAAAATGTTGAACTTGTGGCTCTATCAAATAAACTCTTTTCATCAAATCAAAACACCAACGATTTTTTTCCAACAACCCATAATGAGCAAATGCACTTAAAAGTGAACTAAATGTGACATAATTAAGCTTCAAACCCACTCTCACCATCTTTTCAAAAAGAATGAAAGCCTACTTGCCACGAAAACTTATTATGTGCGAACACAGGATGCCATCAAGAGGCGAATTAGAGCGCGTCACATCATTCTTTTGCTTTGTATAGATGTGTATCACTATGTACCGGGATGACATGGCGCGCTCTGATCCACCTCTGAACAATCAAGTGTCTGCACATAATAATCTCTCCCTCGTCACACCCATGCATTGCAAAGTGTCGATATCATTTCACTCCAAGCCAAAAACATCCATTTTCAAAATCCCCCAAAACACTTCTCTTGTTTTTGCCAAACTCCCATACATATCTACGAGGGAAACACCAATCATAACATCAAAATCCAATCTTTACCTTCTCTAATATCTATTTAACAATTTCTCTTATAACTACCAAGCTGGCATATAAAAAAAAGAGAGCCTTTATGACTCCCAATGCCCAACACTAGAACAAAATGTGTATATAGCACCAGAGTAGAATGTGCATATAACACTAGAATAGAACTTCACGTGCCTTTAGCACCAAAACAAAACTTCCCTTATACCCACCAGATATCCTAGGAATCACACATTTCTAGGAAATAAACATATGATTCATTACATTGGAATAAAATAAAATATAAAAGAAATGTTTTAAAAAGGTAGGTAGCGGAACATATTACTAAGCATAAATTTAATATTTTAAAATATAATTAAATTATCAGAGATTATTTAGAACATTATTTTGAATTTTTAATTTTATTACAACATTATTTTTTAGGATAATTATTTTTGAGATGATTAAAATAACACATTTTTCAAAATCCCAAATATAAAATTTCTAGAAAAATACCTAAATTTTCATAATCACCGTCTCTATAACACATTGAAAGTAATGTGGTAAAAGTTATGTATGTGCCAAGTTATCTTCATTTTTAAACTACAGAAATATAAATTAAATAAAAAATCAAAAAAAAAATTTTTTTGAAAATTGAGAAAGAAAAAATACAACATACCTCGAACTCGACAACTTTTAAAATTGGGTTGACAGCTGAAAATAGACCAAAGTCACCCAAAACTAATTTTCTCCCTGTAGCCAACTATCTCAATTGGTTGAAATGACTCATTTTAGTGGAAAAAAAAATATTTTTAATATTAAAATTTAGTTGAGCTTTGCGCCGCCCAATTTCTCATATTTAACTTCTTAAAGGCTCTTATAAGCAATCTTTTAAGCTTCAAACATGTCATTACTTTATCACAATTTAAATTTTGCACACATTGTATTCATAACAAACATATGCTTTAAATTATCATGAGTAATAATTAATCTTTGCAAATATCTTTAAGCAAATTAGGCAAAGATTAATATATTATGACATGATATAAATAATGAAATCCTTAAATTATTAAAATGCTTCACAATGAATATAAATGCAAGCACATAAACTAATTGTTAGAGAAATAAATTAAATGATGAAGAACGTTAAATTTGACAAATCACATAAATATGTAAATATTGAACATCTATATACACAAATAATCTCCACACAAAAAACAACTAAATTGGATAAAATATAGTTGATTACACCTTCAGCTTTGATTAAATTTATGTTGTTTTGAGTTTTAGACTTCTTTCAAGGCAATTATCATTAACTTTTTTTTTAAAAGTAACATAGTGTAACTTTCTTCATAAAATTCTTATCGAGAATTCAAAAAATAAGAATTAAATAATATGAATAAAAATGTTTGCGTTGTGAGCCCAAAATTGATCTCAGGAACATTATGTGACCTAGATATAGGTTGATTCACCTATATCAACTCAAAACCTAGCATAAATAATTCATGAACCAATATGTGTTAATAGGTTGACCTAAACTTATCCATCATAAGCCACTATGGCCCACATAAGTCAACCTAATCAAACTAGCCACATTTAATCAACCCAAGCCTTGAAGGACCTAAATAGACATATAGACCTATGTAGGGACCCATTTATATCATGATTAAACCTAAGTCAAATAAGTTCAAGCCCAATCAAATCTGGTTAGCCCGGGCCTATTTATTGACGTAAAAGGATATAAGCCTACATTGGGTCAGCTGACTTAACCATAGTTAACATAAAGCATTCATTGGACAATATTGATTAAATATATGCCCAATTCACCCCAAACTTATGCTAGATTCAAATGTAACATAAAAAAGCTTAATTAGCCTGATGGGAATTTAAATAAATAAATTTATCATAATAAGATCCAATTATAACTTGCCCCACCTCACATGACCTATATTATGCTTAGAAACCTATTACAAGTTAACCTACCTCCTATAAGCTTGACCCAAATAGTCCCAAATGCACCATAGACTCATTTGATCCCAAATTAGGCTAATGTAGATCAAATAACACAAAATTTAATGTATGGCTTACACTACCCTATTAAACATCTAAAGCCAAATCAAAGGGTCCCAAAGCTAAAATTATGCCTACTAACCCTAATTATTATTACACTTCATGCCTCATAATCAATCCAAATCCATCCATGTTGCATATTATTAGTATTACCACTGCCTCAAGGGTCGAACAACACCAATCTTAATCAAAATCACTCTCAATAATGTGGCATATGATATAGTCTTACAAGCCCAAAACATGCTTCTAAACACCATATGAAAAAAATAGTCATATACACTTGTTTAGTATCACCAATCATCATCACCCATCTTATGCCTTACTATGAAGAAGTATTGGTCACACACCTAGGGAGCTATACCACATTATGATAAGCTTACAACTACCATAAGCTAATGCATTTACAATGCCATGATCTTTGGTCCTTTAGCCCACTAACACCACATGTTGTCCATGACATCAACACATTACGACCCACTTAGTTATTAAGCTACTTATATTTTCACCAATTTTTTAGATAGGTTTTTTTCTTTTGGGGATAACTTTAAAACTTGTCTTATGGAGATACATGAGCCCATCATAATAGAGAGAATGAATAAGGTTGCAATTTATTTTCTAACTAGCTTAATAAAACTATTCTCTCCCTCAATAATTGACATATGTTTATATAATCTAACTATTTACATTTTAGTGTTATCCTAAATTCCTAATTCTACCTCTTTTTTAACTTTTAAGCAATCATTGGTATAATTCCCTAATGTTCCGCTTTTCTATAAAACCTTCAAGATAACTATAGGACCATCCCAACAATTTGTAGTCATGTGCCACTTTCCATTGTTCTCATATGTTGCTACTTCATTAAGAAAATTTTTTATTTGTGAAAAAAGCGTGATTGCAGATTTCTTAGACATTGAAAAGTACCTACCTACCACTTTTTACTATAGCACTTGCCATTAAAAATGACACACAAGTTTGATCTTATAAAAATGCATTGTTTATAATATCATCATAATTTTTGGAGCCTTTTAGAAAAAAATGAATGTCCTATTACAATTGGCTCTTCAATCGACTACACATGTTTATATTATCATTTTCTCTGCAATTATGACACAATCAACTCAGCATGATAATCATGATGACACATTGTAACAAACCCTAATCAGACAATTGGTTTTCCTTAATCACAACCTCTTATATAATTGATAATTGGGGAAAGCACCTATATAAGAATGGCATTATCACCACTTAACCATCAAGTGTGAGACTCAAAATCTATTTATGCCACAAGTCTTGAATACATTCCTCTAACTACATTAAACATTGAATCACTTAGTCATTGTAATGGCCTCGGTGACCACCATCAAATATTTAGGGAGTTTTAGCCTGACATGTCTCTAGATCCAATATTTGTGAATCCACATTTTTGGTATTTGCTACTACCTTCAAATATGACAAGGTGGTGACTCATCAAACTTCCTCTCGACAACATCATCTCCTTAGTGAACTACATCAAAGATTGTTGTTGAATTAGTAATCTCTCATATGAATATAAAGTTTAGATGTTCACAACAGCCTAAAAATCTAAAAGAGGGAATATGAGTCTTTATTGAATTATATTTAAAGGTTCGCCCATGCTTATGAGGAGGTTACTAACTCTAAGTTAAGTGCAATAGAGATGACTCCTCATCTTGAGCCTCCCCAAGCCCTAGATCACTCTTCAAACACCTAATTGCAAGACAGAGTATACCAACTATACATAAAATCTCAAAATGATCATTCAAATTCGTGAAATATGAGATATTTTTTTGTTACATGTTAAAAAAATTTAAACTAAAATAAATTAAACAAATAATTCAATTCAATTTGATTTATCTATCTTATTTGTCCACCTCTAATTGAGATTTATCTTACCTTGCTTAATTATTAGCCTTCACAGCAAAGATTTAAAAAAAAATCTGTAAATACAAAAATGCCCTTGTATGTAATTCAGAAAACCTTCACAACTCACATAAACAACCAAAGAACATCCTTTTTATTCCAGAAATAACCCCTGAAAAATCCAAATCCAACAAGATCCGTCTCCCTCGCAAAGCATGGAGGGGCGCGGAGCTCCTTCATCCACTTCTTCTCGAGAACACAAATTCTTCAACCGCGCGCTACAGAATGCTGCCCTAATGCCCCCCTCTCCCTCTCCCTCTCCTCTTCCACAAATGACCCAATATCCATCCCGGAAACCCGCCTCCGGAGGCAACAAGGACGATACTACCTCTCCATCGATCTCCAACTTCGTTGTCGGCAGCGGTGGCACGGCGATGAGGATAATAGTACCCTTACAAGGCATCGTACAGGGCCGTGGTGGCCTCGTGCTCGGGTCCGTCATCCCTTGCGCTTTGTTCTACCTCTTTCAACTCTATCTTCGGCGCAAAAGACCCTCGTCTCCCCCCTCTCCTCCCCCGTCTCCCTCATCCGGCGAACTTCATGCGCTTCCTGTAATCCCAAGAACCCATTCTCGCAATCTTATTTCACCCCGCGCTGGCTCAGTTCCCGCCCCGTTATCTACTCGCGCTGCGGTTGTCAACAAGTCGGATGCTTGCCGTCTTGCCGCTGGCCATCAGCGGTATCTCAATGATCCCTATCATCCAATCTTAAATCCTGACGGGGTCATCCAACTTGGCCTGGTTGAGAACCAGGTAGCGTATTTGGCGAGCATTTTTATTCCGTGGTTTGTGGTTTATTGGGAGTTCAGGGTTTCCTGTTTGTTTAGGGCAGCTGTCTCTGGATCTTGTACGGGACTGGCTGGAGAGGAATTTTAAGGCATTGTTGCTGGAAGAAGGTTTGAGGGATTTGGGCTTAGGCCGTATGGAGACTTGCTTCCAGTATGATGGTTTGTTGGATTTGAAGATGGTAAGTGGGCGGTCATCTTGAACTTTTGCGTTTCTTTGGATGAAAAATGCCTTTGATGTCTGTGTTTCTTTAGTTTTATGTGCACTACTCGCTGGCGGTGGATTTGATTTGTTCTTTTTTATTGAATTGTTGACCACCTCGATGAAAAAAGCCTTTATTCATTTAGTGGTCGTGTAGGGTTTTTTTCCCCTTGTTTTGTAGTAAAGGTTTCTGTTTTAATAGCCGATATTCCTTATGGAGTACTTGCTACAACTATCAGTGATTTTCAATACTAAATTGAATGGCAAAAAAAGGAAGACAGTTTGTGCACAGTAAATGAGTTTTTTTGCATATTATGTAAATTTTCTTATTCATGTGTCAATAGTCCTAGTAAATTATTTTCATACTGGAGAAGTGTATTAGTTATTGTTTTCTCGACTTTGGGGGGAATAGTGATGCTATCTAGTTATTATTTTCATACTGGTTTACATTTAAATATGCTATCTAATTATTTTAGGCAGGCAGCAACAGCTTTTGCTAAATGGACATCAGAGAACATATCTTGTTTTTCTCATCATATATGCAATCACGGGAACCTAATCTCTCATATGTTCATGGCAAATTGTGCAAAAAATTCTTGGATGATATTTTTTTTTTCTGAGAATGGAATGGTAGTCTTTTTGTAAACATACAGCATGTCAACTTCTGGAATGGTTCTGCCAACATCAGCTGAAATTTATGCAGACCTAACATGTGTAGTTGTTTATCTGCTTCTAGAGGTTGTAACCTAAGGCTTTGTTTGGGATGGCTTTCTTTCTGCTTTTTAAAGCACCTTTCTAATACAAAATTTTTTTAACTTTGTATTAGAAAACTACTTTAAGAAGCAGAAAGAAAACCGTCCCAAACATAGCTTAAGGCTGCCCTGGGAACTTTCATCGTGAAGGAGCCATACGCTGTTGACTATTTTCATTTTGTATAAGTAGCATTGTATAAATTGAGTATTATGAACATCAAATTGGATTCTATTATAATGATCACTTGTTTGTTTGTATAGCAGTTTTAATTGGAACTTATATGAAAGCATAATTTATAAACATGGCTGGAGGTGTGCCTAGCGAAGCTGACTTTTAAGCCAGCTCGGGCTCAACTTGATTAAGGGTTTGTTAGTCGTGCTCGATGAACTAGTAAGCCAAACCTGAGCTAGTCCAACTCTATACGTTAGTTATGAGCTAGTTTGTTTAAAAAATATTAATAAAAATACATTTAAAATATATTAAAATTCAATGATTTTAGTATAATATTATAATAATTTATAATTATATATATTTTCCTTATTCAAGTGATTCTTATAATTTCTCATTTAATTTCATATTTTTTATAGGATTATAATAATAATTACTTGAATAAAAATGATCTTTTTTCTTTCATAATAAATGAGCTGGCTTGTGAGTTGACGCTCATATAATTAAACTTAATCTCAATTAATTAATCAAGTTGAAGTTGGGGGTTGCTTGATGGGGACATCAGATCATCATGGAAAGTTTACCAGAGACGTGGCCGCCGATCTACGGCCACGATCTAGTCGTTATGTTTTTGAGTCATCGATGTATTTTATTTTCATGTATTTTGTTATTTGCTTATGTGTGTTTTATTTTTTTTCGTTGTACCCCTCTTATGGGAGTTGTTGTTTGTAAGCCCAAAGGGCATTAGTGCCATTTTGTTTAAAGTCATTTGTATGAGGCTATTTAAAGCCCCTTTTGTTTTATTTGAGGTTAATGAATGATTATTAAGAAATTTGCCTACACTTGTGTTTGAGAGCGTTTGAGAGTTCTTGAAGAGAACCCTTGGAGAGGGAGATTGGCGCATCACCCACCAACCTTGGAGACGGCCGGGTTCGTGATTTTCTTCTTTATCTTTGTCATCGTCTCCTCGTCGAGCTTCCAAACCCTTCCACCCATTTTCCTTCACCTCACGACCAAAGCATCCTCACCCGACCCCTCCACCCCTCCAACCCCCACATTCCAAGCTTGCCTGAGCCCCTTGCCGCCGGCCAAAGGCTTTAGCCGCCGGCCCTCCACCACTTGGTTTCTTTATTGGGTTTCCTAATTTGGGTTTCAAATTAATTGAAATAAATTTGAAATTCAAATTCAATCAAATTTGAATTCAAAATATTTCCTAAATTAGTTATTCTATTTTAGGAAAGAGATTGATTTAAATCTAATTTCAAAATTTAAATTCATGAGGATTTAAATTAATTCTTTCCTAAATCTAATTCTTAAATTAGAAACCCATATTTACTCTTACAAATCAATCCCCTAATCCATGCATGCCGCCGGCCCCCTTTACCCCCTCATTAAATTTCTTTTCAAATTATTTCCAAAAACCTAATCTAGCTTTAGGAAATAATTCAAAATCTCCCCAATCCCTCATAACCGAAATTTCCCCTTGCCTTTTCCAACTAATTGATTCCCAATCTAAGGAGATTAATTAGGGAATTCAAATCCTCTTCCAAGCCTCCTCCCGCTGCCCCTCTCTCCCCCTGTCACCGCCTCTTCCCTCTTCTAATTGCATGGATTAAATCCACTCTTCCAAAACCTGTACAGGGGGCTTGCTCTCAGCTCTTCCTTCACAGCTAAGGCTAGGCTCTCCTCCACGTTCCCTACATCCTAGCCCACTAAAGTCTGAGAATTTCTCTCAGGTTTTGGTGGAAATCTGAGATTGTTTTCAGATTTTAAGAGAAGAGGTTTGGAGCTTGCATCCTCTCTCCTATCAAGAGAAACTTCTTTCTCTTTGTGACTATTCAAGAGACGCATCTTATTTGCATCAAAGGAAGCCATGGACGAAGACGTTGAAGGCATCAAGTGACGGATCTCCACGTCTCCTTGAGCAAAGGTCTTTCTCTTCTCCATTTGTATTCAATTTCTTCTAACTCTAAATTCTCAATTGGTTGATTGTAATCACGAAAGCTCCTTCAAATTGCTCTTGCCAAGCTTAGTCATTTGTAGGAATTGAGTGTAATCTTCTATGCATCCTACGTCTCACTGTTAGATTAGGGATTTAATTTGAAGCCTACTGTTTGCGTTGTGTGATTTTCTTATTTATTTTGAAAGTTTCAAAGTTCAGAGCATGTAATCTCACTTAAGCAAATCATTTCCTTATTAGTTTTGAATCTTCGTTGAGAATTGCTAAGTAATTGTTTCCTGGATTTATTCTAATATAAGAGTTGTGCAATGCCTAAATGACTACATAATCATCGCATCTAATTAGCCCTGCATCATTGCTCGAACTTGGCTCAACTTGTTTACGCCCCAAACATTGCTATTTTATTAGTAGTAAAATTGATGTGAAACCATGAAAGTAAAGAAGAACTGTTTAGGGATGTTAATATTTGGTAACAAAAGCTTCACTAGTTATAGACTTCAAGAACAAATTAGGCTTTAGAATTATCAAGTAGAAATTATGTAAGTCATTGATAGGAAACACTTGGATTTCCAAGTGTTTCTCACCAAAACCAAGTAGATCCAATGTAAAACTGCTGTCCACAGCAGAAAAACAGCCAAAAACAGTAGGAAAGCAGGGAAAAACTGCAGAAAAATTAGAGAAAAGACTTGTATTTTACTAGTAGTTGCAAGGAAAATAGCAAAGATACAATTGATCCTCAATTCGAGAGGAGGATCGATCTCTCCCAAATCTCTAGAGGCCGCTAGAGCCCAAAGAAAACCTAAATCTACGAGATCTCAAATTTCAGCCAAATTCAAGATACTCAAATCCTAAAAAAAATAACTATTTAATGCATACAAATCAAAAGGAATTCCCTAAACAGTCCCTACATTCAAATTTCCCTCTTAACTCCCCAAAATTTCTTTCCTATTTGGCTCCCGCACGCTGTGCGGCTCGCTCGGCATCCCAGCGGGCGGAAGAAACTTCCGCCCTGTTCGTGCCTGAGCCGGTCCCGCCTGGACTGACTGGACCGGTCCAGTGGACCGGTCTAACAATACTCCCCTCCCAAAAATTCACCTTGTGCTCAAGGTGGAGATATGCTCGTGTTCCGGTGGAGGTGGCCATCCTTGAGATGACTGAAAATCCTTACTGTACTGCTGAACCAAGGACTGCACGGAAGGAGGAACATCCCCTCCCTCTTCCAATCTGATCGCATCCAGCCTGTGTAGTCCCACCATATAATCTTCCCCCACCTCTTGTATGTCCCTAACCATGGTCTTAAGTGATTTCATGGCTTTGGATAGCCCTGCATCTCCCCTTATAACCACCTTTCTCCCATCCACCATTAATTCCATCGTGAGTGCTCCCCAATTGTCCTTGGTTTCCCCCAAGGTTTGCAGCCACTTCATCCCCAGGATGACATCAGTGCTTCCTAACTCTAGTGGGAGAAAGTCCTCCTTTACTTGAATTTCCTGGATGGTCAACACCACTCCTCTACAGATCCCCTGGCCTTTCTAAATTTGTGTCTAGGTTCAATGTAAGTGGGGCCCATGTGATTGTATAAATAATTAAATCAATTTCTGAATTAAATTCAGATTTGATTAGATATGAGTGGTTTCCTGATTGGGTTTTATCATTCAGGGAGGGATTTGAAATTCGAATTTTGAATTGAATTTCAATTAGGAAACTTCCTAAATGACAAGGGGACAGATTAGGAAAGCAATGAAAGCCTACTTGAATTTGAAAATTCAAATTCCAAGGCTTGGCCTTGGGTTGGCTGGCAGGTGGGACTCAATGGGGGCCGGTGGCTTGGTGTTGGCTCCGGTGGAAGGGGGGTGGGGGATTTGGGCCGAACGGGTGATGGGGAGCGGGATCCGACGGCTAAGGGAAGAGGGGGGCGTGGGGGTTGCTGTCCAGCGGTAAGGAGGTGGATTTGGTGTTGCCGGCGGCTAAGAGAAACGGGAAGAAAAGAAAGAAAATAAAAAGAACCAAGAGCTCCCACGAAGGGGGCTGTTGGGTAGTCCGTGTGAGCCTCTCCTAGGCTACTCCTCTCCTCTAGAACTCACAAAGAGATCATGAGCAAAAGCTGAAATTTTTTTTCATATCAATAATCATCATCCCAAATACAATAGAAATGACCTATATATAGGTCTCACAAAAAAAAAAAAGAAACAAAGACTAAAATGCCCTCGAGGCTACAACATCAAATGACCACCCATAAGGGTAAAATAGTAAAAACTGAAAATAAAATAAACTATTACATAAAATGACTAAAAAAATATAAGCTCCTGATTGTGGCCGTCGATCTCCGGTGTCTCCGATGATACACGTGTCGAAATCTCTGACGATGTCCTCATCAAGAATTATTTCAGGTTCATTTAGGTAGAGGTTTATAGTGCAGAAGACTCGTTGCTTAGCATTTTATTTTGCCATCCCTTGGAATGCTGGTTGTGTTTTTTTTCTCCAAAAAATATTATTAAAGTTATGGAATAGATTTCTATCATGGTCACCTGTTTTTAAGAACTTTATTAGAGCAGGTTACATACTGTATAGGTTTTTATTGTTCAGTTTTTCATTACTTTCCCACGTACAGCCTACATCATAACTTATTGCTAGCCTTCATTAATGCCTATTTAGTGAAGTTGGTCTCTAGATGATTGCCAATTGTATAAATTTACTTATTAACTTATGATGGATTTCATAATTTCATTTGTACTATATGAAGGACGGATTAGTTAAGCTATAAAGTATCCTTTCTATAGTTTTTTTAATAATTTTAAGGTTTTGTTAAAATTTGTATTATAGTTAATATTTGCTACATGGAGCTGTTTGTATATCATATTATCATCTATACAAATCTTTGGCATTCCTACATGCTTGGATGGGCTATTTTGCCTGAGCTCATAGTGTTCACAGGAATTGTCTTATGAGTCTTTTTTTTTAGTTATAATTTTTTTTTTTTCATATATTGGCAGTTTGTAAAAATTCCTTATAATTGTTCTGCACATAAGCTTGCATTTTATTTGTTAATGTCCTTTTTTTTTTGTTCACAGGCTATTGCTGATTTCATGGGACAAGTCTTGCAAGGATATGTTTCATTTAGTCCATCAAATATGATATTAACATCTGGTGCTGCTTCCGCGATTGAGACCCTTTGTCTCTGTTTGGCAGACCCAGGAAACGCAATTCTTGTTCCCTCCCCATACGATCCTGGGTAATATTTCAAATTTAAGTTTCCTTTTTTTTGCCGTTCTTTTAACCGTTGCATTTGGTTGCATGCACTGTTTAAGACTCACCTATTTGAAATTGTAAATTGAGAAACCGCCATTACATAACTGCTAACAAACTGTAGTTGGACTTAGAACTTGAACGATAGTTGATATGAGATGAAATGGGTAGTTGCCTCACACATAAGAAGATTTGGTGGTAGATTGAGGAAGTACAAATGATTATTAATAAAATATAAATATGTTTCTGAATAATTAAAAAAATAATCAATACAATTGAGATTTATAATAGTTATAAGGATTCTAGATGTTTTGCAAAGAGTTTAGTAAGGTTGACATTAAGGTTTATGCATGTAAGAGGAGACATGAAGTTTGAGTTGGAGGCCTGAGTTGGGGCTCTTGATTTATATTGTTGGCTTTGTAGATGAAAAGTGATATATAAAATAACAAATGAAAGAGGAAGACAATTTAAAGGCTTTGATTTAGAATGAAGGCAATAATATCTTATTTAAGGTTAAAATCAAGGAAAGGTGAGAAATACTAATTCAAACTTAATGATTTTTTTTTAAACAAGGATAAACAGAAGCATAAATTTAGTTTATCACAAAATGATCCAAATTAGTGAAGTAGTTGCAGTTTTAACGAAGATATACAAAAGTAATACTTTAGGTCCAAATTACGGATAAATTAAAATTTTAACAAGTTATAGGCATTGTTGGAATAGTTTGATGACTTGATCGGCAATTTTTTTATTAAATTTAATAGATTAAGAGAATGACAAATAATTAAGTAGCATACATTTTTGAACTTATATTTTTAGAACAGAAAGATGCTCCAAATTGTAATAATTTTATAACTTTGATTCATTCGATAAAAAATTGCCATAGAGGGTAATGGAACATTGGTTTAGAAAAATGATGTTACTATTAATTGAATATTTTTATTTTATGCCGTAAAGGTCTATTATGGTGGCTATTTTTTTGTCAGGGAAATTAATGAAAATATAGCAAGCAACAAGTGCATCTTGATTTTTTTGTTGATTGTTAAATAATATATTAGTGATTATTAGTATAATTTGTTTTATTAGTGTTAAGGAGAAAAATGTGTCATATGTATGTTAAAATCATTAAAAATAATTTATGGAATGTTGACTAGCATTCGAAGTAGTTTTGGAATGCCAAAATATGTTTAATCAAAATAGAATTGTTTTAAAGATTAATTCCAAGTTCGTATCCTTTTTTAATTGCTATGGAGATGTTCTCAAAAGCTATTCTACATGAGATAGCTTGGTTTATGTTATTTATAGCGAACCAGTTTTAATAGGTGAGACACCTTATAAAGTATGAAGTTTGAATGGTGTTAATAATTTTAAGGAAAAAGTGCTTATAAATAGTGGAATAAAGATTGAATATATAACATGTAGCTTTAGTTGGTGTAAAATTCAGAATTATCAGCTAACAACCATAATATTATTAAAAGATTAAGAGGTACATAGGCTTGAAATGTTTAAGAGTCTTAGGTTAGTTGTATACCAAATAGTGTTGATATTACTATACATGATTTCTAGAGTTAAATCTATGGTTAAAGTGAAGAAGTACATGAACCACTATATAAATATTATGAAAGGTTAAATGATGGACTGACTGAGCTTGTGGGCCCCACTAGGGTGGGTGGCAGGCAAGAAGAACAAAGGGGATTAATTCCACTTTAATTACTTACCATAGAAAACTAAAATATGAGGGAATTAGGAAAGTTTATTTAGGGAAAGATGAATGATTTGAATTCAGATTTGGAAGGGAATTAAGAAAGGTTTATTAAGGGAAAGAGGGAGGGAATTAGAAAATATTTATGTAGGAAAAGATGACTGATTTGAATTTAGATTTGGGAGGGAAGTAGGAATGTTTATATTAGGGTTAATTGGGTTGCTTTATTTTCATGATGTGAATTGTGTTTGGTTGTAGTGTTCTTTGGAGTTGTTAATAGCGACACCTAGGGTTTGTGGAGACTCGATCTACCTTTCAAATAGTAGATCAACTTGTATCTTGGTTTGTTTTGTCAAAATAAAAATCTTTCTTGTTGATTTCTATTGTGTTTTCTCTTCGACTATTATTGTTTTTGCTGTGAGGATATTAGATTCCTATCAAATTGGTATCAGTGCACCCTTTGTGAGAGTGAATTTCAGCAATTGAGGACAGACTTTTGAATCTGGAAGAGATGATGAAAATGATGTTAGAGTTTCAAGACAAGACAACTTTCGAGACAAGTGCACTGTTGATAGGATAAGAAAGTGGGGGAAACCCTAATATATGGATGATGAGGGAAGATTGGGAGGTAAAAATTTTGAGGGAAGAAGAGGAGATGTCACCTTTGGAGCCACTTCCAAGGAGAGGAAAGGGTGAAGGAGCGAGATTTTTGTTGGAGGCTTGGAGCTGCAGAGTTTGGAAGGAGAAGAAGATTGGAAGAAGATAGAAGCATCAAACATGGTTCAACCATTCCTACAGTAGTATCAAGATGTGTTACAGCCAATTCAGGGGTTGCCTTCTCTGCAAGAACATTAGCATGTTATCATATTAAAGGAAGGAGTCTCACCTATCAGTGTTCGTCTATATCATTATCCCCAAATCCAGAAGGATGAGATCAAGAGATTGATCAGGGAGATACTGGAGGCAGAAATTATTCGACCTAGTGTCAGTCTATTTTTCAGTCCAGTGCTATTAGTCAAATGCTTCAGCAGCATTTTCTTTTGTACCGTGAGGACAATGTGACTCTTTGGGAGAGGAGTATTGATGGTCCAATTGAGCCAGTGGGTCCCATTAGGGTGGGCGGCGGGCAAGAAGAGGAAAGGAGATTAATTCCACTTTAATTACTTACCATAGAAAACTAAAATTGGAGGGAATTTGGGAAAGAGGACTGATTTGAATTCATATTTTGGAGGGAATTAAGAAATGTTTATTTAGGGAAAGGGGTTGATTTGAATTTAGATTTGGAGGAAATTATGAAAGGTTTATTTAGGGAAAGAGGATTGATTTGAATTTAGATTTGGGAGAGAATTAGGAAAGATTTATTTAGGGAAAGATGACTGATTTGAATTTAGATTTGCGATGGAAGTAGGAATGCTTATATTAGGGTTAATTTGATTATTTTATTTTCATTATGTGAATTATATTTGGCTTTAGTTTGTTTGGAGTTGTTAATAGTGACGCTTAGGGTTTGTGGAGAGTCGATCTACCTCTCAAATAGTAGATCAACTTGTATCTTGGTTTGTTTTGTCGAAGTAAAAAGTTTTCCTATTGATTTCTGCTACGTTTTCTCTTCGATTATTGTTGTTCTTGCTGTGAGGAGATTGGATTCATATCATTAGAGATAAATTTCAAGTGTTGGACAATGTGAATATTGCAGCCAAGTTGAGTGTGGTAGAAATAAGAATGTGATAGGAAACACTTGAAGATCTCAAGTATTTCCTATCAATCTTCGACAAACAATGAGCTTTCTTACCAAAATCCACACAAAAACAGGAAAACAGTAGAAAATTTGTAATATTTGATGAAATGGAAGCGGAAAATAACAAGATACAATTGATCCTCTATTTGAGAGGAGGATCATTCTCTCCCAATCTCTAGACGCCGCTAGAGCCCAAAAGAAATCAAAGAAATATCAAATTTCAGCCAAATTCAAGATACCCAAACCCTAGGAAAACAAATTATTTAATGTATACAAATCAAAAGGAAATCCCTAAACAATCCCTACATTCAAATTTCGCTCTCAATTTCCTCAAAAAACCTTCCAAAATGGTCCCCTAAGCTTCGGCGGCCCGATCGGCCTACGCAACAGGCGGAGAATTCCGCCTGTTCGCCTGAGCCGGTCTCGTGTGGACCGGTCTAATAGAATGTTAAGACAGTACATTGGTAAATTTGGAAGGATAGACTAAGAATGATTATATTAGAGATATTGTTAGAATATTGTCTTTCAAGGTTAAGTAGCAACAAATAAATCTTACTGATTTTAGCATGGTCGATTGAGTGTAGAAGATGCACAAATACAATGGATTTATATAATTAATGTGTAAGGAATGGGAAAAGAAATGGCAAACCAGTACTAACAGGTCTAAACATTGTGATAAATAATTTACACAAGATAGAGATCACTCAAAAGAAATGAATGGCGATGGGATCATAAGTCAGCTCAAATAATTGAGGTGAGGTTAATTATGATGATTATTTCTATCGATAGTGTGATGCCTAGATTTGATAATTTTGATTCCCTTGAATTTATATAAAAATACTTGGGTATATATTGGGACTTAAACTCTATTGTTAAAATTGGGTGGCTAAAATGGACAAGTATTGCTGTAATATTATGCGAGAAAAGAATATTATGAGGACTTGAAAGTTAAATTCTTTTAACTTACTATTATAGCTGCCTTGCCAAATGGAATCAAGTTGTGTAGAAAAGAAATCATTAAAACCAAGTCGAGCGGACTAGAATTAAAATAAAGCTAACACCGCATGTAGCACTTAATGGAATGAATTGAGGATATTTATGAGGCTAGGGTCCAACAATTTGGGATTAGGCTAACGATGATGATGATGAACACCATTGCTTTTGGTGTTTGCATATGCGACGAGCACCATTTTTTATAAAAAAGAAAGCAGTACTTATTTTTGTAAAAGCTACGGCGCCATAATCATTAATCCAATGGCATGGAATCAGATAAAACTCTCCTACACCAATCCCACAATTATCCCATCCTTTTTCTTCCCAAAACCCTGCCAAGGAGCAGTTGCTTAATAATGTCTCAGCAATATCCTGCTGGTACAATGTGAATGTTAAATCAAAATTACCTTTCTCACTTTTTTTTATTTACGTGTTCTTCATCAGGATTTGCTGCTGTGAACCCTGGATGTTGGCTGAAGTACATTTTTTACTCAAGAACCCTTGGATGCTCGCATGCAAAGTCCTCTATCTTTTCAATTCTAATTATTTAGATTTTATTTGGAACGGCTTTCTTACTGCTTCTTAAAACAGCTATTTTATATACAAATTTCAATTTTTGTATTAGAAAGTTATTTATAGAAGCAATAAGAAAGACACCCCAAACGAAGCCTTAGTTGTCTTATGTTTTAAGTTTGCTATTCTCATATTGCATCCTGAATTCAATATTGATTACCTTGAGCATCAATATCCACAGGTTTGACAAGGATCTGAAGTGGAGGACTGGTGTGGATTTAATCCCTGTTCCTTGTCGTAGCACTGACAACTTCAATATAAGCATTTCTGCTCTTGAAAGAGCTTATAATCAAGCAAAGAAACGAGGGGTTAAGGTTCGTGCCGTCCTTATCTCAAATCCTTCAAATCCTGTGGGAAATCTATTGAGAAGGGATGCACTTTATGACTTACTCGAATTCACTTCGGAGAAGAACATCCATTTGATTTCTGATGAGCTGTATCTTGGATCAGTCCATGGAGACAAAACGTTCATGAGTGTTGCAGAGATTCTAGACACAGAAGATTTTGACAAGTGCAGGGTTCATATAATATATAGGCTTTCGGAAAATCTCTCCCTTCCAGGTTTTCATGTAGGGGTCATCTACTCCTTAAATCACAATGTCGTGGCTGCTGCTGCAAAGTTCACAAGATACTCATCCATCTCCATACTTACCCAACGCGTGCTCGTCTTAATGTTATCAGATAAGCGGTTCATTTCGGAATTCCTTCAGCTAATTGGAACAACAGTTAAGAATATGCATCATTTGTTTGCCCACGGCTTGAAAAGTCTGTATGTTAACTGTGCTAATGGTAGTGAGGGACTTACATGTTGGGTGGATTTGAGCAAGTTTCTACGTTCATACAGTGAGAAAGGGGAGCTTGAAATGTGGGAGAAGCTACTGGATATAGCTAAGATTAATACAACACCGGGGTCATCTTGCCACTGCATTGAACCTGGATGGTTTCAGTTTTCTTTTAAATCTTTGTCAGAAAGTGATATTGATGTAGTTATGAAGAGGATTAGGAGAGTCATTGAAGGGCCTGAAGTACATAATTTATTTGATACTAAAAGCTAACTTGTGCAATCTAGTTGCAGGCCCAGCATTTGTTTATTACCCGCTTGGGTTTCACAAATCTGTGTCACAGATCTTTCGATGTGAAAAACAGCCACCTAAAATAATCAACATGTTGAGAGATGGTTTCTGTGCGTTGTATGTGAAACAGATCAATATATATACTGCACATGTTATGAAGCAATTTTGGGTTAGATGGACTGACCTCTTTGGTCTTCACAGAGCGATATTTCTCGTTATTGCCAAGCAATACCGAGCAAATACCGACCAATACCGAGCAAATACCGAGTTGTACCGAGTTTTTTAGAAAAACTCGGTACAACTCGGTATTGCTTGGTATTGGTCTTCACAGAGCGGTATTTCTCGTTATTGCCAAACAATACCTAGCAATACCGAGCAAATACCGAGTAATACCTCGCAATACGCAAACATAACATTCCCGGGTTCCGGTCCGGGTCAAGTCGTCGGGCCGCGTGGTAAAGAGTAAGAGCACGTGGCGACAGGTATTTCTCGTTATTGCCAAACAATACCTAGCAATACCGAGCAAATACCGAGTAATACCTCGCAATACGCAAACATAACATTCCCGGGTTCCGGTCCGGGTCAAGTCGTCGGGCCGCGTGGTAAAGAGTAAGAGCACGTGGCGACATGTTATTGGCGGTTGAATGTAGCTCTACATCCGGTCAGAGGACATAATAATTGCTCATGCAATGGGCCTACTTAGAGGAAAGCTGGTGCTTGTAACGTGCAACGGCTTTTTGTAAGCCTTAGGCTAGTTCGAAATGTTTTTAGTTGTAGATTATAGGCCGGCTTGGGTTACAATTTCCTTAAAAAATCTAATGGTTGGTGATGACTGCCACTAAAATAGAAGATCAGAATGAGTTTGACCTTAATTATGATTATTATTCCTTTCGGAAGATAAGTGGAGTTTGAAGGAGCTAGTCTTAGGTCAATGATAAGGTGTTTGATTTTTCAGTTGTTCGAGCAAATTAAGTATTAAATCATAATGAAGTAGAGGATAAAAGCTTAAATTAAAAAATGCAGAAATTTGAGTTTATATGCTTTATAATGCATAAAATTGATTTTTTTTTTGAAAAAATATCATTGAAATTTCATTTCATATTAAGGTATTTTATATTCATGAATTGCTTATTGAAGTCTGTTATGAAAAAAGAAAAATATTTTGAATTGAACTTTTAATAGAACTTTAGTTCAAATCTGATTTGAATCTTTGCTTGATGGAAGTATTGCCTAGTGAGCTTTGTCATATCAATATAGTGATGCTTTCTGAACTCCATCATGTAAACTCTTTTTCTCCTCACATGAAACATGTCCATCACAGGCGATCAACTCTCACATATTGCTTATCCCCTTGAAATAAACTCTATTATATATCATCGATTCTATCAATGCCTTCTCATAGCGGTCTATGCTGCCCCTTAGATCTTGTTGATGGGGAAGAGGATTTAGTAGGATTGGCAATCCTAGATGTATGCAAGAGAAAGTGAGAGGGAGTGGTTCATGAGTTAGGGCATGATTTTTAGAGAGGAGCCGAGGCATTATACGTGTTAGTTTGGTGGAGGTTTGATAGCTGCCCCTTTGGATATATAATATATATATGTGAAGCATAAGATGATTAATGAGAGCTTGAAAGAAGAAGAAGCATAAAGAACAAGAAGAGGAGGAAGAAGACGATAACACGAAATAAAGGCAAACCGGAAAATATTATTATCATATCCAGATGAATACAAAGGCCACTATTATATAGAGGAATAAGTGGTGTAAGTGGTAAATACAATAACCGTAAATACAGATAGCTTTTGTATTCTAATATCGTCCCTCAAATTAAGCATTCGAAGATCGAAAGGTTAATTTGTTTCTGAGATCATTGAACCGAGCTATAGAGAACGGCCTTGTTAAGATATCTGCGATTTGATCTTTGGAGGAGATATGAACCAGCTTGATGTCGCCGGAGCTGATCTGTTGACGAATGAAATGATAGTCTATCTCGATGTGCTTTGTTCGCGCATGGAAGACCGGGTTCTTGGCTATTGTAATGGCGGAGGTGTTGTCGTAGTGAATTATCGTGGGTGCTGGCTGCGGAAGATGGAGCTCGGCAGCTAGTCAGCGGAGCCAAATGACCTCCGAGGTAGCCGCGGATAGTGGCCGGTATTCCGCTTCAGTTGAAGATTTGGCGACCGTAGCTTGCTTTTTCACTGTCCAAGATATGAGATTGGGACCAAGAAAGGTGCAAAATCCTGAAATGAATTTGCGGTCCGAGGAATCGGACGCCCAATCGGCGTCAGAGTAGGAGTGCAGCTCAAGTGATTCGAAGGTGATTGGTAAGCCGAATGAGAGAGTGTCGTTGATGTAGCTGAGGAGGCGTTTGAGTGCTTGGAAGTCTTGATCCGTCGGTTGTTGCATATGTTGGCATACGCGATTAATGGCAAAGGCGACGTCCGGCCGCTTGATCGAGAGATATTGGAGCGATCCGGCGAGGCGACGGTAAAGGGACAGATCGTGGAAGGGTTGAGTGGTCGACGTGGGCTTCTTGGATTCGGGTGCAATCGGTGTCGGAGCCGGCTTACAGTTTGCATATCCTGCATCTCGAAGAAGTTTTGTAGCATAGTGTCTTAAGATAGAAAATAACCAGTGGTGGATTGAAGTACCTGGATTCCAAGGAAGAGAGAAATGTTCCCTAGTTGTTTGAGGGAAAATTGTGACTGTAATTGTTGTAGAAGATTCTGAATTGCGACGGGATCGTTGCCTGTTACTAAGAAATCATCAACATATATGAGAATAAAAAGTTGCGTAGAAGTGGTGTCTAGTATAAGGAGCGACGGGTCGGCACGGCTGAAAGTGAACCCTTTGGATTGAAGGAAACTCGTAAGTTTTTGAAACCATTGCCTCGGGGCTTGCTTAAGTCCGTAAAGGGATTTGTGAAGTTTGCAAACCGCATTCGTATGTTGTTGATCAATGAAGTCGGGGGGTTGTCGCATGTAAATGTCATCCGGAAGATCACAGTGTAGGAACGCATTGGAGATGTCTAGTTGATACATAGGCCATTGCCGATGAAGATCAAGAGTTAAAAGGTGGCGGATAGTTGGCATCTTGGCGACGGGGCTGAAGGTCTCGATGTAGTTGATGCCAAATTT